AAGGCAAATAGGTGATTTAAAGTGTCCCTTTTGGGTGGCCAATGAGAAAGAGGCTCTTCTTCTGAGCCAAGGAACGTGGCTGGGGGTGTGGAGCCCAGGTGGCCTCCAGCTGTCCTTGGCACCGTGTTGGCTAGGTGCTCTGGTGGGGGGTCGACATGGCTGTGTGTGACAGCCTGTGTGACAGGCACCATTTTTTCAAGAGTTCACTGTGTGCCAGGCACTGTGCTGAAAGCAATACATGCCTCGTCTTTTCCAACCCTCACCACCATATGACCCAGGAACCACCGAATGACCCAGGAACCAGCGAGTCCGTGTTACGGGGAAGGGAACTGGGGCCTCCTGGAGGCCACACTGCCCTGTGTGCTGGGTTTGAACCCAGGCAACGTGACTCTGAGTCCAGGCTCTCAGCCATGATGTGAAAGGGAAGGCTTTCGAGTATCATTTCACAGAAACAGAGTTTGGTCTCTACAAAAAAATGAGTAAAATAAAAGACACTCTGCGGACACTGAGAGCTCTGTCGGGAGAGAAGTAGCTTTGCAAACTGCCATTGAATGGGGATAGCTCTTTAAAATGCAAGCTCGTGAAGTCCCCGCAGAAATCTGGTAAGGTGGGCCGACTATTATGATGGTCCCCAGAGCAGACATCTTCATCGATAAAAAAGAGTGATGTTTCCATTTTACAGCTGAGGAAGTAGAATCACAGAGACCTTATGTGTTTTGTCTTATCGATGAGTCAGAATGCTTTTTGTGACCAGTTAAAAATATTCACTTTGAATTCTCTTCAACAACAAGGACAATTTATTTGCTTGAATATTGAGAAGTCTGGACATAAAGTGATTTGGGAGTTGACCGATCCGGCAGCCCAGCAGCTCTTTCATGTTACCACTTTACAGAGGAAGGAACTGTAGCTGGGTCACCCCCACCCCACGGTATCCCCAGGATGTGTCCCTCTACTTCCCAGGCTCCGTCCCCTCCAGGCTGACCCACCATAGTGCCATGCATTGCCACCATGGGAAAACTCATGCCACGACTCTGATCCAGTCCAGGAAGACACCTCTTCTGCTCTCCCACCCTCTGGGCCCTCTGTTCCCGGCCAGGGCAGGATGGGCCACTTTGGTCCCAGCTGCAAGAGGAAAGAGGGAGAGGACCAGGGCCAGGGGTGGTTTCAGGGCTGATTTGCAGTCACCTGTGGGACAGGCTTGACAGTGAAGGACATTGAGCCTCCTCCCCCTTCACCTCCAGTGATTTTGATGCCTTTCATTAAATGTTTTAGGGAGTCACTAACATTCTCTAGGGGGCAGTAGACACAGTATTTGGAGCAGGGAGGTCTGCTATATCAGTTTAGGCATCGCTAGCTGCTGTAACAGTGTACCCTGACATCTCAGGGGCTCAGAACAAATAAGTTTATTATCTGCTCATGTAAAGTCCGCTGGGTGGGAGGCTTGGGAGCGGGTCTGCTCCGTGAAGCCATTTGCAGATCCAGGTCGATGGAGACTCTGTGCCTGCACGTGGTTTCCAAGGTCAGCCTGGATTTCATCAGCCAGAGCCTGGAGGACAGCGCGTGGGGGGTTTGACGTTCCAGTGTGCACATCCTTCCTTTCATTTTCAATCACACAGCTATGCGTAACCTCAGGGAGACCGAGAAATGCCATCCAGCCATGTGCCTGGGAGGAAGAGGAAATAAATTTGGGGAGCCGCACCTGACTTTGAACCTGGACCCTACTACAAACTGTTTGTGGGACCTGGACTCGTTGAACATGTCCGAGCCTGTTTCCTCATTAGAAGTGAGAATGGTAGTGATCTCCTGGTCAGCACTGTGGCCAAGGTCATTGAATCCTTTTTCGCACAGAGCCACGGGCCACTCCTGCGGAGCACTGGCCTCTGTTGACAATTGTCCACGTACTTGTGGACCTCCCTGGGAATGACTTCTCCCCTTGAGTGACAACTCCACTAGAGCAGGGGACACGCTGTTCTTAATCAGAGCTACAACGGGATCGGCTGGCCTGGAGTCCAGCGCTTAGTAGGCATTCAGTAAATATAAGTCAAGGGAATGAGTGTTTGGATGAAATAATACAAATGCATCCATGCTAAGGCTTACTCCCTTAAAAAATTCTTCCCCAGTAAATATTTCCACCTCTATGTTCCATCATGGTGTGCTGGCGGGAGGAGGGAAGGAGAGAAGACCAGGAGGGGGAGGAGGGGCACCTTCCTCCCAACCCTACTGGAGCCCGAACTATAAATAGCTCCAGTTGGAATCTGACTGTAGAATCCTCCAGCAAAGTCAGCATCCCCAGGACCTCTCATCCTAGATGGGGACCAGGAGCGCTTCCTCATTAATCATGGCTCTTTAATTAACAGCTCTGAGCCTGGAACAAAAGGTGCTTGCCGAGAGAACGCCAGCGGGCCCTGAACTCCGGCCGCCTGTTTTTAGTTGGAGGACCTGGCGCCTTGGGGAGCAGGCCTGGCATGGCTCTGTGCTGAGCCCGGCAGGGGTTGGGGTTTGGAGAGCGAGCAGCTGGCAGGCTGGCTGCCTGTCTCCAGCTCGGACACCACCTCGCAGAGCTGACTCGACTCCGAGCAAGTTGCTGGCAGCTCTGTCCTCCCAGGGCCCACGAAAGGGAGGTGGCTGGACAGTTTGAGATAGTGGTCTCAAAACTTGGCATGTTAGAATCACTCAAGGAGCTTTAAAAACTTCAATGCAGGGTCCCATGACATGCTGAAATACTTGATCTGGGATGGGGCCAGGCAGAGGCAGTTTTCAAAGCTTCACAGGTCATCCTAAGGTACAGTGCAGCTTAGGGATGGCCGGCATGGCAGAAGGCACTGAAGTTTGTCCAGAAGCCTGGCTGAGTGACGGGGAAGGCCTAGGCCAATCAAGGGCCCTCTTCTCCACATTGGGTGGATGCAGCAGGA